TCCAGGAAAGGCATCAGCAGACTTGCTGAAGCCTGCTGCTGATGGCACCAGAGTCGCTGCCTGTGGTCTGGGCCAGGCTCCTCTGCTGGAGTAAGCAGAAGTAGCCCAAGTTTCTTACCACAGTGGCTCTGTGTTCAGCAATAGATTCAATGGCAGCCTTTCGTTTTGCTTCTCTCTCTTTGCGTTTTTTTTCTTCTTCAGCTTCTATTCTTGCCACATCTCTAGCCAGTCGATGATCTTCCTTCTTTAGTGCCTCACCCATTTGTTCCGCTAATCGACTACTGATTTTGTCCTGTTGTTCCTGTACTTGTCTGCAGAAGAACATGAGCTTCCATAATATACGAGAGCAACACTCCTGGGTCTGCCTGAAGCTACCAAACTCAGCAATTCTGCCTCTAGAGGTCTCTCCTCTTGACCACACAGACTGGCCCACCCACCTAACTCATGATCTCCTTCTGTTCCTCCTGTTTGGTTTATTTTTATATTAACTGATTTAGCAAATAAATGTTCCCAGTGTTCTTGTAGTACTAGTTTCTGCAGCAATAATGAGCTGGATCACTCGGTAACAATTCCAGTGAGCATCTTGCCATCAGGAGGGGAATGTTGGAAGTATTGTCCAGAAGCAGGAAGGGAAGAAAACTCTTAGATTGACTCAGTGGTATCATCATCTAGTACCTGCAATGTTAAACTGATAAAATATTTTCCCCTTTGTAAGAACACAATGTGGTTAATTAATGTATGTGCCTTGTTGAGAAGTCATATCATTTTTCTTGAGCTGACTCAGAGAAATATAGGTTATACTCAATATTTTCATCAAGGATCTTAATTGTCTTTAATTGTTGAGGAGGTGGAGATCTGGTAGGCCATATGGAAAATCTCTCTTCAAAATACACTGGTGCAAAGCTTTGCACTTTCATAAGCCTCTGTACTTTGAAAGGTGGAGAGATTGCTCCCTCACACTTAGTAAGGAGCCTGTGAAAAGAATTCCTTTTTCTCCTGAATTCCCTGCTCTCCCTCTCAGTAGAATTTTGAATAATGTTTTAGAATAACTGTAAATTGTGTTATATCATTAGTCTAAATGATCTGAAAACAACTACAGTATCATTTTTAGATTATTCACAATTTATACCCTAGCATTGTACCTACCTACGCATTTCAGCTTCTTTCTTTTTTCTCATCTGAGCAATAATTTCCTTTGCTTTAAAATGAGCTTTGATCCGATCATCTTCTTCCATTCGGTTTTGTTCCTCTATTGCTTTGATTATTTTCTGGTCATTTACATACTCCTGTATGGGCAAAATGGTCCTGATGTAACAGATGATGTTTAGAATATCTGGACCTGGGGTAGCAGCTTACAGGAATCACTCCCTGTTCCCCCTCCTCAAGTTTCTTTTAAAAACATAAGAGAAAAAAGGGATCCTCAGGAAAGGAGAGAGAAGACAGAAAAGGGATACTTCCACTTACTTCTGCCTCTCTATTCAAACATGCATCAAGAGGAGACAGTAGATGTGAGGGTGGGGAAAAGGAATTGAGCATCAAACAGCTGCTTCTCTGGTGCATTGCACAAATTGCTGTGTGATGCAGAGAGCATTGTCCCATACTCCCACACACAAACAGGCGAGGGGGATGGTCCAACCACCACCCACACGCAGATCATTCTGCTCCTGACCCCACCTCATCCAAAACTACCCCGTCTAAGAGCTTCATCCAAAACACAGTAGGAAAACACAGGGTTTTTATGTAAAAAAACAACTGTCTTTTGCATTCTGGCCAGAACTGCTCTGAGGCACTTCTTGTTTGTACCTTAGTAGGATGCCTTTAAAGATGAAATGAGGTGGCAGCAAGTCTTGACTAAATTCCTAAACCTCTCCAATCATAAATATCTAGTCAAAAACATACATTCAGTCACTATTCCCTCTTTCGAACAAAGAAAAATGGGCTTAAAACACCAGGAATGTGAAACTTAAATCCAGTTCTCAAGTCAAGGAGATATTCCTTGATGTTTTCAGTCAAATCTTTAACCAGAGACCAGTCAAAGGATTAAATGCCAACATCCTGTCAGACAACAGAAAGGAGGGGCCTCCAAGAGGTCTTTCTCAAAAGCACAGAGAAAACAGATGGCCTGCAATTGGCAGGGTAGGCATTTGATACCAGGCTACTAAAACTGTCAGCAAAGACCCTGTTACCCACAATCCTGTTTATTTGTGGGCCAAGTCCAACCATCACAGCCAAGGTGAAAATAGGCATTTTGAACTGTCTGCTTTCCTGCTACTTACATGATACAGCTTCCGGCGTTCAAGTTTTTCCTCGTGTTCCTTTTCTTTTTTTCTCTGAATTTCTAGTTGGTACAGTTGAATTGATCTCTGTAGTTCTTCCTCTTCTCTTTTTTTTTCCTGTTTGGCCAGATCTGCCTGATGCTCATGCTCCTTTATTCTGAATCAGAAAAAGGTGAATAAATTGTCTAGGAACTACATGAAGTAATGAACTGCATAACCATAGGTACCTTGCATTGAAGAATGTGATACTTTGAGTTGAAGGTAGGTAGAATATCAGAGGTGAATGACAGCATGATTGTTTGTAATGGTAACCCTGGTCAGAAATGATCTGCGTGGTATGCTCACAGTTTGCAGTCTTGTGGTGTTAAATTTTAGTTGGATGACTCATTAGCACCACTGCATTGGTAATGCTCTGGCCTATATCTGCAGCATTCTTGGAGAACAAGATTTCCCCAATATGACCCACCATACCTGTGTTTCTTCTGGGCATGCAGGCAGCAGCTCAAACTGGTAATGTTCTATACTAAGTTCTGTAAGAATCTATGTTTTGCACCTGGAATATGTAAGACCAGATTTGAACCCTTCCTCTGCCTTGGGAAGTTTGATTCTTTCTATCAGACCATTAGGGCCAGTCCTATAAATACCACTGGGGACCCCTCCATAAGATTTATGGAAAATCTGAGAGAAGGAATAGAAGTGGCAGTAATGCCTTCTCTTGTTGTGCAGTCTGGAAGCTCATTATGGGTAAATGGAAAATCTAATTTAACCTTTTCCTTGTCTGGAACAAAAACTGAGTAAAGTACACTTAAATTTCATTAACAACATTTTAACAGTGATTTGACTAAAACCTGCTGATGCTTCCCAGAGGCAATTTTGCATACAAACTGTTAGCAACTAAAAACGCATATAGCTTTTCCCTTTTGGGCAAGATCTTCTGTGATCTGCTTTTAAAAGTATGGCATTTGTGAGACAAATTATTAGCAAGTTCTGTAAAAATCTCATGGAGTGTATTTTGAGAAGAGTTTAAATAAATAATGAAGTAGGGTTGCTTTTAATTACTACTTACTGTTGTAACTGATCTTTGCATAGTGCCTGTTGATTCATATAATGCTGATGTGCTTTTTCTTGCTCGCTAATAATGTATTCTTTAAATTGACGTTGCTCTTCTTCATAGTCCCTCTTTTTGTTATCAGCTAATCTTGACTTAAGAAATTCAACTTGAGCATCTCTTTCTTTTAGGACCTTAGTAAGTAGAAGTGCACTCTGCAAGAGAACATTTAAAGTCATTTTCATATTCAGAAGTATTTAGAGACATTCAGTACAATTCCAATGTAAAAAATATAAGCTGTCAACAAACATGGAACTGTCTCATTCTGTCATCCTGATTAGATAGGTAGGTTTTTGCACGATCAATAGCCTCCTTCCGTTTTGCTGCTTGGAACTTTGCTTCTTCCAAATCAATTAACTTTCTTTCTTCCTCTTCCTTTTCTTCACGTAGTTTTTTGGCTTGAAGTTTCTGTTGTATCAGGTTCTATAGTGCAGACAAAATTAGAAATCACACTTAAATTTTGGATTGGTTTTTTACTTTGCATTTCAGCTTTAAGTAAAAAATAAATGTTTATGTTAGATGTTAAATGTATCTAAATGGCATTTAGCTGAAATAACTATTCAAAAGAAAATGTTGAAAAAAGGAAGTATAGCTAGAAATGTTACAATTCTATATATCTTTTGTATATTTGTATATACAAAAGCAGCTACCCTTGTTTTCAAATGTACTTACCAGGGCCGCACAGCGCGGGTCTTCGCCAGCAGCTTTGGACTCCAAGTGCACTTCATCCTGTTCTTTCTTCTCATCAATGTGTGCTGCTTCTCTAGTGCTGCCCTGAATCCTTTCCCATTCTGCTTTTGGCAATATAATGACCTGATGAAGATCTGCTTCATTTGGAAGGAAATACTCATCTAGAACATCCCTTTCTTTCCAATGATGTGCTGTGGAGAGGGAAGATAAAATACAAAGGTTACTTGATACCAGAAAATCCAATAATCAAACATGCATCAGGATTTGAATGCTGGAATGGTAACAATACTAGGTTATTCTTAGCATTACTTAGTCCCTCATCCCCGAACCCCAGAGCTAAGACAGGGTATCTGTATCTGTAGCCTACCTATGACCAGTGCATGTACTTGGATGGGCACTGACTGACTGGGCTGTTTGTAGTGCCCTTGCCTGTTTGTGTGTATGTGTGGGTTTGGCTTGTAGTAACACACTTCCCAGGCAGTACTTGGGCATGCTTCTTAGAACAGCAGGGGGCAGAGACCTCCCTAAATGAAGAGGAGAATATTGGTAAAGCCATTCTGCTGGCTGGATGAGGCAGCAGTTTGGACACAGACTGTGCCTTACTACCATGTCCTGCACATACTCATCATATTTACTGAAATAGTTCTGCTGTAGAACAGTTTCTGATTTGTTAGCAAGACTAGGATTTCTTTGTTGCATTACGCTCACATACATATGTGCAGGCATAAATGCAGCTTTTCTAGTTGATGTCTAGGTTTTGTAAAATGCACTTTCAAGTGTCACCACCATTTTTGAAGGAAGTGGCACTCTGTACAGAGTGGTATTCTGCAGAAATTGTGTGATTTGCAGCAGACTGACAGGCCACGTCTGAAAGGTAAGGAGGCTTTCTATTAGAGTGACACCGGTGTCAAAGTCGGCTCTCCAGATGCCGTTGCTGACCGGTTTCCCGACAGGGGTCAAACCCGATCCTCTCCCTCTGTCCTAGGTGAAGACAGCCTCCGCAGAAGTAAAGGCGCCCTGATGCGGCCGTGCCCTGCAGGCAGGACTCTGGCAAGCCCCTCGTTCTTCCCCAGCTGCTGTCCCTGGAGGTTCGGGGGCCTGCGCTGCGTCAGGTCAGTTCTCTCCGCTCAGCTACAAGGGACAGACAGCCCCTCCTGCGGTCTGCAGCTGGGGGAGCCGTGGGGAGAGTCAGGCTGAGCACCCGCAGCCTCCCGGAGCCCTCCCGCGGGTCCCGCTGCCCGCGGCGCAGCCGCACTCACGGGCGCCGCGCCGCCGCCGCCCCGCCGCCATCTTGGCGGGCCGCGCGCCGTTGCCGGGCGCCCGGCGGCCGCGGTCACGTGAGGGCGCGGCGGGCCGGGCTCCCGGGGCGCTGCGACCGCGCGCGGCCGCGTGGAGCGCGCGGGCTCCGTCCGCTCGAACGACGGTGGGCGTGTCCTTCCGAAACACCTGCTGAGGCCTTTCGCCACGAGAATCCCGGTTTGCTGGCGCTGGCAAGTGCTGATGGAGAAATTGGTATCTGCTCAAACTGATGGTGTGTGAATATGGAACATTGGTGCTGCGTTAGGAAGTATTAGTAAGCATGAGTTAGATACTGTCACGGTTACTATTTAAAACAGAAGTTGGACACTGAAGTTTGGCATTTACAAATTGCATTTTTAGCTACAGCACAACTTTCCCATCTTGGTAATGGCCATAAATGGTTTATTTTGTTCCAGTATTTTCCTCCAGAATTTTTCTCTTCTGAGCACAAGGTCAGGGTAAGAATATAGTACTTCTGCTTATATAAATAATTTTCTTATTTGTTTGTTTTGGAAACTGTTTTCTCACAGCTATGAAATTTCTGTTGGTTTTTGATTTTGACCATACAATCATAGATGAAAATAGTGACACCTGGATTGTGAAATGTGCTCCTGAAAGAAAACTTCCTAATGAATTAAGAAACTCTTACCAACCAGGACATTGGACAGAATATATGGGCAGAGTCTTTGTCTACTTGGGAGATAATGGTGTCAAAGAAGAAGAGATGAAAAGAACTATGACAACAATCCCTTTCACTGCAGGAATGATAGATCTTCTGGGATTTATTGGCGAGAACAAAGAGTTGTTTGATTGTATAATTGTTTCAGATTCTAATACAGTATTTATTGACTGGATTTTGAAAGCTGCTGACTTCCATAAAGTGTTTGATGAAGTGTTTACAAACCCTGCCACATTCAGCAGTACTGGCTATCTTACTGTACAGCATTTCCATGCTCACCATTGTGCAAAGTGCCCTAAAAACCTTTGCAAAAGGAAAGTTTTAAAAGAATTTCTAGATAAACAGTTGGAGCGAGGAGTGAGTTATACACAGATTATATATATAGGTGATGGTGGGAATGACTTATGTCCAGTAATGTTTTTGAAGAAGAATGATATTGCTATGCCCAGGCAGGGATATACCTTGGAGAAAAGGATTTCTCAACTGGCCCAAAGTCTCAGTCCTGTACAGTGTTCTGTTCTGGTTTGGTCATCTGCAATTGACATTATGTCTTACCTGAAACTGCTTATAAAGGAATGATTCAAATGATAAAAGGCAACTGATGCAGTTACATCTTAACTTACTGGGAGAGAAAAACTGCATGTGTATAAAAGCTCAAAATTGTAAAATTGGGCTATTATCTGAAATTATGAGGGTTTTAACCACAACATAAAACTGTTTATGTTCAATCCTGGTGATAATGGGAAAGCTCAGTAAAAAGGCCTTCTAACACAGTACAGATTCCTACATAAGTGGAGAAGGAATGTTGGGACAGGACTTGTCATTAGTTTCTGGCTACTCCCTCCCCTCCAACCCTTTACAAGTATATAACTGATACATACTTGCAATCCCACACACTTAGGGGAAGGAGTAGGATTCCTGTTCAAAAGAATTAAATCCTTTACTTAGGAAACATTAGCTGCCAGGAGCATGGTTCTAGAGCTGTTGGCCTTTATACTTCTTTGATCTGATGGCAAATTATTTGCTTGTAATCTTATTTAATCTGAAGATGCATTTATATTTTCAATCTACTAATTATTTCACCGAACAAAATTACTTCTTAATATTTTGTATTATCTTGTATTGTAAAGACAATAAAAGTTGCTGTCACTGAAAAATGCAACACAACTAATTTGTGTCATGTATTCTGCTGGCCTGTATTTCATCAGGCCTGGAGAGAATAGACACAAGTGTAGGTGTAAGCCTTTAGCTGGCCATACTGTTTCTCTTCTGGAAAGCTGCAAGGATGTTGCTTTTTTGTTTAAAAGAAAAGTCTCACTCCCATTCTGACTACTGCCCCGACAGCATGCTGCTGCCACCCTGTAGAGAGCTGACAGTGGTTTGATCTTCCATGCTGGCAGCTCTGATTCAGCCAGATGCTTTTTTTCCTCCTTGGTTTCTGCTGCAGTGCACAGGCTCACAGAATTGTACATACATATACACGCATACACTGATTTTACCTATTCATTCTCATTTATATCTACAGCACAATCTCTTACAGTCTGGAAGGAAGTATCTATGTCCATTTTAACTTTTAAACAGATGGTTCTAAGTAGTTCTGAAGAATTGTGACCATGCAGTCTTTCCACTGGCAGTGAGGTGAGCCCCAAGTGTTGGACTGTCCATATAAAGGTATTAAAAGCAAGTCTCATTAAAGTTAAATAATGTGTTTTCATGCCAAATGTTTTTATTCTTATATCTCAGAAAAGGTTCAAAATGCTGATGCAATCTGCTGTTAAACTGAGGTCATATTTAGCTTAAGTGCTTTAATAACTGAGAGATTAGGCCAAATTTCACAATACCTCAGTTGCAGATGTCTGAGGAGTAGCTCAGCAGCCTGCAGTTGCCATATCTGTCTTCCTTTGTTTTCTGTGCAAGGTTATTCTTATTTTCTTATTGACATTTCGTACTATCACTGTCTTCTTTTTCCTTAATTGAAGATTTTTGAGTGGTCTTGCCTGTTTTCAGGCTGCTGGTTTACACAAATTTCCCTTGTGCACTTCTTTCCTTGCCTCACCTATTTTACTGTATTGTAAAAAGTTGCTTTGAACAGTCTGTTGCCTGAGATGTCCAAAGCAACATACTTCAGTTCTCAGGAGCCTGGCTTTAGTGATGGATATTTGGTAGGTGTCTGAGATGTTCATATTTGGGATCTTAGCCTAATGTTTTACTCAAAGGCATAAAGACATTGAAGGACTGGTGGGTCTCAGGCTGTGGCAGGTTTAAGTTGTCTGGTTTACAGGTCATACAGAAGAATGGTAATGGCTGTTGCATAGGGCAATTTCATATATTACTTTGAGTTTGAAGTTGTTGCCATCATTTGACCCCAGATGGCAGCTAAGTAGAGCAGCTTGTCCACTCCAATCCCCCACTGAGTGGGGAGGAGAATTGGTGAAAAAATTAAATCCTATGAGTTTAGATAAGAACAATTTAATAATTGAAACAAAATAAAATATAGTAGTACTAAGTTACTATAATTGTAATGAAAAGGAGAGAGAAAGGAATGAAGTGCAGGAGAAACAAGTGATGTAGAATACATTGCTCAGCACCCGCTGCTGGATGCCCAGCCCACGCCCGAGCAGTGCTGGGCCAGTTTCTGTACTGAGTGTGCCCTCCCATGCTCTGGGATATCCCTTTGGCCTGTCCGGCTCAGCTGTCCTGGCCATGCTCCCCCAGCTCCTTGTGCAGCTTCTCACTGACAGAGCATGGGAAACTGAAAAGTCCTTGACTATGGGTAAGCACCACTTAGCAACAACCAAAACAACAGTGTGTGGTCAACATGATTCTCTTAGTAAATCCAAAACAGCACTAACCAGCCACTTAAAAGGAAATGAACTCTATTCCAGCCAAAACCAGGACAGTTGTATGTTTCCTTAATTCTAGATGTGCTTCTGAATGTTCCAGATTCTGTGCTGGTCTCTTCTGTGTTTTTCAGAACTTATGGAATAGCTTGCTTTCAGTTTGTTCACAGATCTTGGTTACTGCTTGCTTAAAAACAAACAGTAAATAGTATATCAGTGATCACTCCGCTTTTTCTTCCACTTACACTATCTATCGTTGTCTTAGCCTTAAGGGTCTGACCTTGTAATTTGCTGTGAGAATAAAATAGTGGTGAGAAATTGTTCTTCATGCTCACAAAAGGGTTTTTCTGTGGTTTTGCTTAAAGTGCTGAAGCAGAAGTTGAGAGTAGATTAAGGAGAGTACTTGAAATATTAGCAGTTATGTTCTAATCACTTCAGGTAGGGGGTAGAGCTGATATTTGCCAAACAAAGTGCATGTTGGAGACAGAAGAAAATTTTCAATTCCAGTAGGCAGACCATTAAGCTATTAATCAGGTCTTGTTTGGGTTTTTTTTCCCCACTTAATAAAAGTGAGGACTTTATTGAAACACTACAATTACCAAAATTTTCCACGTTTGGTTACAATGGAGGGGAGATGAGTATCTCCAAAGAGTGAAGCTGGTTGAAGCTGGTAGCCCAACCAAAAGAAAGGAAAAAGCTCCTTAAAGGGGGATGTTCAGTACTAAATGTTGCTGACCTCCTGATTTGCTCTCTGGGAGAGAAATGAATTAGGTAAAAATGTTTTGGAAAAAAAAATGCATAATGAAAGTGATATATGTATGGGAAATGTTTTCTGTGGTAGCAGGTGTGCTGTCATATGCCACAGCTATGCAAGTACTTAGCCTTAGTTTTGTGTGCTAGTGCAATAGCCAAGACTTGAAAGAAGTTCCTGCTTGTCCACAGGAAGCTGATGAAGTGGAAAATGCAACCAAAACAAAGCTGTTGGCATGGGGATGTATAAAGACTTAAGGCTGCACAAGAGAATTTTCTGGATAAAGAAATGGGAGTCATGTAGCTGAGGGACAGGCCCATGTCAGACAGCAGAGCTGTTGTGATTCCTGGGTTACAGTAGAAAACTCCAATTCTCTGGGTTAACAATGCATCCAGAGGGGTTGAAAAAAATGAAGGCATAGATGTGTATAGGTGTGGGGAAATTTTAGTTTTGTTGGGGTTTTTTTGTCTGTTTGGATATTTTTATTTTTGTCTCATGTTACTGTGTAAAGGCCAAGGGACAGTTTGAATCCTGGTGAAGGGTTAGCATGAGAGGAAGGATGGCAGAGGGTTTAGACCACATACACTTTCCTGTTTGGATTTCCTTAGTTCATACTTCTGCTGGGCTTTGTGGCAGAAATACCACCAGTAAATAAAAGAAAAATACAATGCTTTTTCATCTGTGTTGTATGGGAAATATCAAACTTTCTCCTTTTGGGTATTGCTGGCATTTAGCGAATGATAATATTCACCTCCTTTTGGCTGAAGAAATTACTGGCAGTTCTTTCAATCTAGGAAAGCTTTGGCAGGGCAGGGAGAGCTTGGCTGCTGGATGCAAAGAATCCAAGCCGTGCTGCTGATGAAGGAGGGCCCACAGCTGCTTGAACCCAGAGGATGCTGTGTTTCAAATAAAGAAAATGTGTGCTAGCAGAAAAAAAATTGACTTCTTCAATTGTGAATCACATTTTCAAGAGTTTTAAAAGCCAATATAGCCTTCTTCCTGGAAAATTTACTTATAGTTGAAATCTACTTGTGGGCATCTTTTGTTACTGTCCTTTGCACCCTGCCAGATTCAGGAGTTTGGGGAGAGCTGTGGCTTCTCCTTTCGACTCCTGCTCTCCATTTATGGGGGAGCCCTTGGAGCTTGCTGCCCTTCCCAGTATCGCTCCTCCAAGCGCCCCGGGAGCGCGGGGCGGCCCTGCGAGAAGCGGCTTCAGGTCGCTGACAGCGGCGGCCGAGGCCCCTCGCTTTGTTGTGCGGCTGAGTGACACCGAGCGGGTGACGCTCCCAGGCTTCTGCTCCTGTCCCTAAGGCGGCCGGGCCTTCTGTCACCACCGCAGGCAGCCTTTAAGCCCTGTCCCGGGTGGGCAGCGCTTCGGGCCGGACCTTTCGGAGGCGAGCGGGCGCGGGGGCCGGGCCGGGCGCCGGGGCCCGCCGGCCTGGCGGAGGGGTGCGCGGGGGGGCGGCCGGGGCACCGAAATTGGAGCTGTCGCTGCGGCCCCGCTGCTCCCTCCGGCAGCGGCTCTTCCAAACACGGTCAGGGGCCGCCGCGGGCTCGGCGCCCCCGTACGCGCCGTGCCGGGCGGATCCGCAGCCGGAGCGCGGCCGGGCTGCGCGGAGCGGCGCGGACAAAGCGGCGGGAGCCGCGGGGCGCGGCGATGGCCGCGGCCGGGCAGGAGGAGTACGCGTACCTCTACAAGGACTCCGCGCACCCCGCCGGCTTCTTGGAGGCGTTCCGGGACTTCTACCTGCACGGGCTGTTCACCGACATCACCCTGCAGTGCGCTTCGGGGGTCATCTTCCACTGCCACAGAGCTGCCCTGGCAGCCTGCAGCAGTTATTTTAAAGCCATGTTCACAACCGATATGAAAGAAAAATCCAAAAACCAGATCAGCCTTCCCGAGCTCAGCCATGCAGTACTGGAAGCTCTCGTGAATTACGCATACACATCACAGATCCAGATAACAAAGAGGAATGTTCAAAGCCTACTCCAGGCTGCAGACCTGCTCCAGTTCGTGTCAGTAAAGAAAGCCTGTGAGCAGTTTCTGGTAAGACACTTAGATACTGACAACTGCATTGGGATGCACTCCTTTGCTGAATATCATGATTGCTCGGAGCTGGAGAAAGAGTCCAGAAGGATACTGTTATGGCAGTTTGAAGAAGTATGGAAGCAGGAAGAGTTTCTGGACATTGGCAAGGAGAAGCTCTCTTATATTCTCTCCAGGGAGAATCTCAATGTTCAGAAAGAAGAGGCAGCCATTGAAGCTGTCATTAAGTGGGTGGCACACAACGTGGAAGGAAGAATTGAAGACATCTGTGAAGTGCTGAGCTGCATCAAATTAGACTTAGATATTGTGTATTTGAGGTCAGCTTTAAGCCTGCAAAAAAAATGCCGACTCAATGACAGTAAGATAAGGTCACTCATATATAATGCCCTGAACCTCAATCCCAAAGGTCTTTCCAGAAGATCCACAGCAGCCATGTATGTAATTGGAGGCTATTATTGGCATCCCTTATCTGAAGTTCACGTTTGGGATCCTTTAACCGACGCATGGGTCCAGGGAACAGAGATGCCAGATCACACCAGAGAGAGCTATGGGGTGACTAGTTTGGGACCAGACATATATGTGACAGGAGGTTACAGAACAGAGAGTATTGAAGCTCTTGACACCGTGTGGATATATAACAGCGAGAGAGATGAATGGACAGAAGGCAGCCCCATGCTCGACGCCAGGTATTACCACTGCGCTGTTTCCTTGAGTGGCTGCATTTATGCATTGGGAGGGTACCGAAAGGGAGCTCCAGTCCAAGAAGCTGAGTTTTATGATCCTTTAATACAGAAATGGCTTCCCATTGCAAACATGATCAAAGGTAGGTAAACTTTTGTATGGTGTTTGCCTTCAGTGTAAATTCTTTTGTATTTGTCATTTTTAAGTGCCATGGAAACATTTAGGATTTGATCCAAATTCTAGAGAAGTCCATGGGAAGCTCCTGTTAATGTTAGTGGGCTTTGGCTCAGGTCTTCACTAGCCAAATGACCATAACCATTCAAATGCTATGCTGGGCTGTGCCATAGAACAGCAGGTAGAAAAGTAAGTGGTATTCTCAGTTTAATTTTGCCTTTTTTCATTAGTAAATTTTCTGTTTAAAATAGAAATAAATGAGAAAACTACCCATAAGAGGTAGTTTGGATGGATAAGAGTCCATTCAGTACACAATCAAAGAGCAAGCTCCAATAAAGGGACTGTATTATTTTTATATATGATTTTCCATGCAGTCATTTATAAAGGTGTCATAATTTAAAACTTCTTGCATGGAGTTCCCTCCTATTTCTGTGTATCATCTGTCCAAGATCCTTCATTTAATCTCTAGTGTCAGAATAATGAAAAGCACTAATACCTGTTTCTAGCAGCCAAAGTAGTGATCTGCTAAAAATGTATGAATCACAACCTAACCAAAGGGTATTGACTCTGAGATGAGCTCAGTTGGTCAGAGCCTGGTGCTAAATAATGCCCAGGTCGTAGGTTTTATCTCTGTATTTGCCATTCACTTAAGAGTTGGAATTGATGATCTTTTTGGGTCCATTCCAACTCAGACTATTCTGTGATTATTTTGTAACAATACTACAGTTATACAGTGTATCATACATCTTTATAAATGAATGCAAATATTTATAGTTAGTTATAAAAATTTGCTGTAAGTTAATGCAACATAATATTTTTCTATGTACAAGAGAATTTTTGGATGTATACGTAAAAGAAAAAAGCAGGCTTTTACAACTTTCTCCATTGTTTGTATGTTTTCCTCAGACATTGCGACTACTTTTTATTTCCTTCAAAAGTAGAAATGCTATGCTAATCCTATGGGTTACATATTCTATGCAGTTGGTTTACCCACTTTTCATGAGTATGAAACTACTTAGGTGCTCAGATCCTCCCATTGCTTTATTTCATTTTGTTGTCCTAGAGACAGAATTAAAATGGCTCCATTCTGTCTGGGTCCTTGTTTATACAGTAGCCTAATTAGAAATATTATGAGAATGACTGAAAGTATCAGAAAAGATACCCCAAGACACTGAACAGCCTCAACTCCCATTGTCTTTGCTCTTGCCATCTAAGTGATTTTTAACAACTCTAACTTAGTGAAACAGTGAAACTAATTGCCTATTCCAAAATCAATGAGACAATGTAACTTTACTTACTGCCTAAAATTCTGTAAACTATTGGGTGGATGTATTATGTGCAATATACATTGGTTACTGCAGTTTTATTTAGTCATTCTTGACTTATGCTGGTCTCTTGATAAATCTATTTTGTTAACATTCAGTTAAATACACGCAAGCATATAATGTTAATAAATATTAATAAATCATTTGAAATGGAGTTATGGATGGAAGAGACCATGGTTATTGCGTGCAGTCTGAATGCATGTTTGACTTTCACACTGTGAACAGGAGTTGGAAATGCCACTGCCTGTGTCCTGCATGAAGTCATCTATGTCGCTGGAGGTCACTATGGGTACAGGGGAAGCTGCACCTACGATAAAATCCAGAGATACCATTCAGGTAGCAATGAGTGGAGTATAGTCACCACAAGTCCACATCCAGGTAAATAATTTCTCTAATGAACATAGAGCTTGATTTAATTACTTGTACTGGGAGTCCTTAAGCCCAGTTAGGGATTTTTGGCATATTCCTAATAAAAAAATAAATGCCTGTAGGGCAGCAAGGGCTGTTTCCAAACTCTGAAAATGAAAAGAAAGACCTTCTTCAAGCATCTGTTCTATAGAAATCACTATATAAATACTGAATTAAGGACTTTCCACATTCCATTAAATAATATCACTTTCTGTAAAATCTATTCATTGACATTTGGCAAAAATTATTTATATTAATTTAAAATGGGTTTTCTCTATGTTTTACATCTGGTAACAGTAAGTTTTTAAAGGAATTTTCACTGAGTACTGGTGCTGTAGTGTAACAGAAAATCCTGAGGTGTCTTCTAAGTTCAATGAGGATATTCTGCTCAGTGGTGCCTAATGTTTGTCATGTACTTGCAGTTTAAGTTAATGTTATTGTGCTGAGTTGTACCATATTCCTTTCTTTCTGAAGAATATGGATTGTGTTCAATTACATTACAAAACAAGATCTATTTTGTGGGTGGACAGACCACGATCACTGACTGCTATGACCCAGAGCAAAATGAGTGGAAGCAGATGGCTCACATGATGGAGAGAAGGATGGAGTGTGGCACGGTGGTTATGAACGGATGCATCTATGTAACAGGAGGATATTCCTATTCAAAAGGAACATACCTGCAGAGCATTGAGAAATACGACCCTGAACTGAACAAATGGGAAGCAGTAGGTAATCTTCCCAGTGCTATGCGGTCACATGGCTGTGTCTGTGTGTATAATGTATAAGCATTTCATTTACATCTTGCTGTTACAGAAAGCAGCAGATGCACTATTCAAAACAGTACTGATTACCTCATGAGGGGTTGTCTAATACAATCACTTAGTGCACGTTGTTAATAACTAGATATAATTTGTTCTCACTTGAAACAACTCAGAAGCATAAATGTGGTAACAAGATTTCCATATATTTTTCAGTCCAATCATTCTTTGTCATGGAAGTTCTCAAACTGCTCTCTTATAATACTTTGTACAGCAACATAGGAACTACTGTGAAAAATGGATTTGTTTTTGTTAATCACTGGATGAAACTATGACTTGGTGCTAAGATGAGAAAAGCCAAACAAAATACAGTTCTAAGGACTACTGACCTTAAGATGAAATTTTTGTATTCTGAAGGTAGCTGTAGAAATGGATCATTGACACAAGCTATGTGTATGGTATATGCAGAGCAATATCACTGGGATAACTAGGTTATCAGATTCAGAAATGGGCATTTACAGGATGCCTCTACCTTCAAGTGCCAGAGCAAAGAAGAGCTTAGGCTAGGAATGAGGGAAGAAATGTTGGTAGTAGCCCCAGAGCACAGGCAAAAAGCATGCTCTAGTTTTCCAGAAGGAGAAGTAAAAGGGCATTTCTCTCTGCCATTCTCACACTCTCTTTGACATTGCCAACGACAAATTAAAAAATACTCTGCAAGGCTTTGCAATGGGATCTTTGGCTGATGCACAGGTATTTGTAGTTTGGGTGTTTTCGTGGGGGGAGGGCTGTTCAGAGAAAAGCCTTAATGTGTTAACTCTTTTTTAATATCAATTCAAGATGTGTGCCTGTGTGGAATGGAAGGAGGAAATGAGAGAGACTGGAAAATTAACATCTGCCTGAGCTTCAAACTTCTCTATTTTGTTTACTACCATTTTATCTTTCTTAAACTGTATCTTGAGCGAAGGTAACAACTTAAGAAACTTGTCAAAGTGTGTTATGCATGAAGAAAAACATGATCTATGGGATTGATTTATTTATTATTTCTCTCAAAACTTAATATGAGATTTTCAAATTATGTGTAGAAAGTAGATTTTTGTAAAGTGATTTACAGACAAACAGATCACACTCTGTGGCTTGACAGTGGTGATCCAAATGAAGAAGGCTCTTTTAGCACTGATCCCCTAGTCCAGTTTATAAAATGAATGCAGAAACAGCTGTTGGACATTGCTGTGAGAGGCGAGGACAACACAGGGCTGCCATAGGGTGTGGTGGGAATTTCCAACACCAGCACTGCTATCTAAAAAGAAATGTAGGTTTTATTGGATTTCTCACAGGACTTTTCCAAGCAGTAAGCTCTGAGTTTATAATATTTCTTTTGCTTGATCATAAGCATGTTTAGCTTTTTCTAAAAATTCTTTCACATTTTTATGCTGTTTCTGACTTGCATTTGACTGCTGGTAGCAGGTGGCACTCACCTCTGGCTTTGATGTGAAGTTCTGTGGTGTATATGTACAGTTATTTTTCTGATATTTTCATATGTTGCCCCACTATGTCAGAAGCTTGTGTTCAGTGTTTTGCTTTGTTACCCATCTCACTGAGAACTATTTAGGGATCAGAAGTAACTTGTTTAAAGGCTCTAAAGAGGGGTGGAGAATTGAACTGCAAGGCTCTATAAAATGTGTGGGCCAAGCAGATGAGCAAGAGATAAAATGAATTTGTTTTTCCTGGAAATCTCCACAGATGACAGTTGTTCAAGTGTGAGTGGAGATTGAAAGGATAACATCAAGAGAATGTGAAGGTGATCTTTGTATTGAATGAAACCACATTGAACTCAACATGTTTATGTAATTTTTCAGTGCAAATTATGTACCTGTGAAGCTTCATGTTTGTTGAAAACAGCTGCTTGTGGCTGGCCTTGAGGTTCATTCTGGCCTGTATCCTGTCACCAACAATCATGAGTCAGTGAAAGGATCTAACAAGGTGAGGACAACAAAACCAAACCTCTCCGTGTCCCCTTGCCAACTGCTTGCAAACTAGGTGCTTGATGTTGGTGCAAGACAGTGCTGTTCCAGGGCTGGAGCACAGGCACAGGAAGCTGGACTCTGCTTTGTGCCCCTGGGCAACCTGCAGGCAAGCAAATGCTGCTTTTTGGCCCCACTGTTAAGTGCAAAGTGGAAAAAAAGGCTTAACTTCTCCCCTGTCAGTAAAGCATTTGTTCGTCTGGCATAAATAAAAATCAAAGAAATTACTGCTTAGTACTTCAGTTGAATCCTATTTTCTCAGAGATTTTCAATGCATTTGAATAAATGGAGAGAAGAATAAGTTCAGACTAATGATTAAATTTCAATTGGTGCTATTTTTCACAATAACCTACCATGCCCTTTAAAATTAACTTATGTAGCACATCTCAAAGTGTGTTGCAATCAGGTCTTGGGCACAGGCAGGAAAATCAACGCAGCAAGAGCAATAGGATTCTGACCTCTGGTCAGCAGCCTACAAGGAATCTCTTAGCCATCTGTGTAATATGTTTTTAAAAATGGTTGACTGTAAACACTGAATTATTGTGCTATTGGACCTGTACTATGGTTGTCTCTTTTTTACTGTTTCACCTATAAACAAGAAAATTAAGTAACGTGGAAATCAAATCAATTGTAGAGTCAATACTATTGCTTTTCACTTCTGTGATTCCCGTGTTTGTAGCATATAGATGTCCACAGTACATCTGCAGTGTTAAGTGAATGTTTGCAATAATAAATGTGACTCTACCGGCACTGTACAAACTGAAGTTGTTATTTTCGTTCCCAGTGCACGAAGCCCTCGGCAGGAAGGGCGAGCGGGATCCCGGATCCCGCGCGGGGCGGGGCCGCGCCCTGGCCCCTCCCCTCCCCTCCCCGGAAGTGGCGCGCACGCGAGGGGCGGCGGGCCGCGGGGGCTGCTGGGCCGCGGGGGCTGCTGGGCCGCGCGGCGCGGGCTCGCGGTCTCTGGGGCGCGGCGCGGGCCGAGCGCGCAGGTTCGTACGGAGCCGCTCCCGGGGCCGCCGCCGCTCGGGCGCGCCCCGCCGGCTCCGGCCCTGCCGGGGAGCGCGGGCAGGGCTGGCGGCGGGGCCGGGAGGGAGGCAGGGAGGGCTCCCGGAGCAGGCAGCACGTGCCGAGCGTGCCCCGGCGGAGGCGCGGAGCGGGCCCGGCCGTGCCGCCGCCGCGATCGCTCCCGCCGGAGCGCTTCCCGCGGGCTCGGTGCGCGCCGCGGGGCTCGGGCGCGGCCGGGGAGCGGCGCCGCTCCCGCCGCGGGGAGCCGGGCCCGGCCCGAGGGCAGCGCCGGCCGGCAGTGTCCGCCGGGCGGGAGGCTGCCCGACCAGCGGCGTGTGCCGCTGCAGGCTTGCGAAGTGTCAACAGCCAACTGATGGTCTCTCGGCACAGTTCAGGGCCGACGTTTCAATTACTTAATGAATTCTAAGAATTTTTTGCTTACATTGCACTGACTATACTAAAAAAAAAAATCTGTTAAAGTTAACGTCTGTGAAAATGTGTGGCTGTAATTAAACCTTACCCTTAAATAAAAACCAGGCTCAAACCTCTTATACAGAGGTTCCTGAAGGAGGCATAATATGAATAAGAGATCCACGTTACCTTATCGGGAAAGCCTTTCACTCTATTACAGTAATAATAGAACAATCAGCCTGCAACTAAACTTTGTTTAGAGCTTGAAATTAAATGTCTGGTAAGAGGAAAATCTACGTGAGCGTTCTTTTGGGATGATCTAACTAATACAATGTAGGATCTACTCGTTCTAGTAATGGGTTGACTGTAATTGTGTATCATTTAAACCTAATGACTACTTGCTTTATTTTAACTTGTTTTTTGTTTCATGTGGTACTGATACAGAGTTTCAGCGTATGGAAGGAACAAGTCAGTATATTTATTAAGAAACCCCTTAAAATCTTTTGTAGAATTTTGCATGCAGTTCTAACTGCGATTGCTGTTCATTTGTGCTTTTTATCAGTCTTCACTGCTGCACAGCAACTGAAAACCATTGATCTGGAAGCTGTGCCAAATGACTGAGCTAAAGAGTCTGAAGTGAGCATGTGCAAAGGCTAGAATTTCTCTTAAATTAGAAGGCTGCTTCTGCTTTTGTTCTAAATAGGTTAGAGCTCAATCACTGAACTTAATTCCATGCATGGCAAGTTTGAGTCTTTCTTAGTCTTCCCTATTAAGACTACTAAGTTTGTTGCAGCTGAAAGGATGCCTTTTAGAAAAACTTTTCCATGTGTAAGACTTATGCTAAAGAACTTGTCTAAAGTCTTATCCTGGATCATGCTTTTTGATATTAACCTTGACAACACTCCTAAGGAAGTAGACTTTGTTTTTTTCTCTTCTTAACAGTGAAGCTGAGCCTTATGTGGAAATTGAGTTTTTGGTTTTGAGTATTTTGGTACCTGGGCTGAGGCAGATTTGGGACAGCAGTCAGAGACTGCTCTATAGGCTGCTGTTAAATTAGATCAAATTGGGTATAATGTAAAACAGAACACTGATTTCTCTCGCAAGTAGGGTGTGAAGACAGTACCAGCACCTGAATGGTGGTGAAGCATTAGTCTCCTGTAGTCAGGGTGGCTGGCTCATGTGGGACATCTCTGAAGTAACTGCAACTCTCAGCTTGGGTGCTCTGGCCTGAGTTTTGTAAAATGCTTTTTGGAGAAATGGATCACGCTCGGCATAGCTGGCAACTAAAGCTTGCTGAAATCATGCTTTGAAGAGTGTTACACTGTTAGGTACAGGTGCAAGCACAGCACCTTTCAAGACTGCAAGTGCTGAAGAATTACAAGTAAGTTTGAAGGATTGAATGTGGCTTTGAGATCAGGAAGAGGAGGAAATGGGAATACTGTAGACTGCAGTAGGCTGAACAGTTATTGGGGAATTAAACTACTAAAATAAGAAGATGAGGCTGCCAGTGGGGCATTCTGATGAAGAACATAATTTCCTGTTACAAGGGCACCTGGGAGAGTTTTCCCTGCTTCTGTGCTGCCAGTCATCTAGATGCTCTGAAAGATGTTACTGCCCTGCAAGTAGCACAAGGTGTATAATCAAATCTCCCAGTAAGGCATTCAAGACATGAGTGCAAAATCTTTGCCAGCAGCCTTTGTGATCACAGATCTATGAACTGGGGTAACACAACAAAGAAACCTCTTTATCTTCTGTAGCTGGATTTAAAAAATGTGTTAGTGCTCCAAGGGAGAAATCTCTGCTTCATAGTTCAAAACCGAATTCAAACTAATTTCTGACAGCTTCATAAGGCTACATTTTTTTTCTCAAGGATTAATCTTCACACTCTATCCTTAAGAGCTACTAGATAGAAAATGTTTGATCCCAGTTAATGTTCTGGCCAGTAGCTGCTTTCGTAGTGACTGTATCTGATGTATGGGGATTATACACTTGCTGCCAGTTAAGTAAAGTTACTTCCAAGTTAAAATGTCTTATGGTATAAAGATACTTGATTCAGTATTCAAGCAGAACTGCAGTGAAGACACATTTGTAAAGGAGAGAACGAGTCATCTTCAGGATATATCAGTAAATGCAAATATTTTCATTCCATCCTCCAGTAAGTTCTCTAAACTTTCCAAAGATTAAACAGGAGACAGAAACTTCAGAAACATTTTCTCACTATATCTATGTAGGAATTGAACATTTTTGTTATTGATTGTTTTGCCTAGTGATGAGAGGTTGGATTTGACTTAAAAAACAAATGTTGTTTTTCTAAACTGAGGATCTATGTCTGGAGAAAGATAAATAACAAACAAGTCTGAGAAGTGCCAGCATTTACTAAATTTTATCTTGACTGTTGAATGCCAAATGCTGCACTAACAACCAAAGTGAGGGGATTTTTTTTCCCCCAAGTTGTTTCATAGTTTCCCCTTGGAGTTCTGCAGTCATGTTAATAGTTGCTTCACAAACATAAATGTATGGCTAGTTAACTTGGCTGTTACCTTATTTAGATGAGGCTGCAGTGATATGCAATGCTACGTGAATGTAAGTTTGTAGGAAGTACTATTCAAAACTTAGTGCTTTTGCTCTGTGTTCTCTTCAAAACAGCTGGTGAAAATGGCTGAAAATGGAAATGGTGAAAACATGTCTATCTTGGAAAGCAAAATCTGTCAGCAAATTGAGGTGAGTTCAGTTTATAGTTTAGGATGTGGACTGAGGTATCTTAGTGTTCACTGGCAGGGGCTTGGCTAAATGGAAGTCAACTTTATTGGAAGTTAATTCAGCTCTTGAAAAAATGTCACAAGTCTGTAACACGTATTTAAAACTTTAGGATAGTCATAACTGTAGTTTAAATTGGAAGCTATACTTGTCTGAAGTTGCTTGTAAGAACACCATTTCATAACAGAAAAAGTTTATTTGCTAGCGTTTTAGGTGCTATAGCAAGTGAATAATTAAACAATTTACTACCATGTTTGCTGGGGTTATTCTACCCGTGCAGATAGGAGGAGAAGAGTGCATTTTAATTCTATGTGCCTTAATTTTTGTGGCAAAAATAATCCTCCTCCTTGGGAATCTCTGCTGGTCAAAGTATTAGTACATTGCATAACTTGCTACTATGATTTACTGCTTTGTAATTTATTGCTACAAATTCCAACTAAATTTACATCCCTATTTTGGATTGATTCTTTGTCTCTCTAGAGGCTTGGAGGGTTACCCTACAACAAAAAACCTGAGCCCATTGCTTTAAATGGCATGTAGAACAAAACCACCTTCCTGAAGGACAAAACTGGAGCTGCATGTGAATGCCCATTACCATATGGAGCCATTATTTATATATGATAAACAAACAAAATGTGGAGATTCCTCAACCTCTATATTTTGTTGGTTTGTTATATATTAATAGTTGACAAAACTAGACTTTTGGTAATGTGAGTTTGAGATGTACTAGAGGAAGAGGTATTGTTGTAAAACCTGCACTGATTTTTCAAAGCACCACAATATTGGTGAAAATATTACAACTTACCTTATGCTAGATGACTGCTAGTCAGGTAAAGAATCTGATTAACTTATCTGTCTTGAACTGAATTGTCTTCCCATGCCGGACAAGAAATTTCAGTCTGTGTGTATGATTTTTCAGTGTGCAAATACAATATTCTTGCATATATACTCCTTAAATAAGGAGTACAACCTGGATCTGCTGGTGACAAATTTGACTTTTGGTTCTGCAGAGCTTGATCAAGGTGATGAATGCTTATCATATTAACAGAATAAGCTTTGCTCCTTTCTTAAACAAAATTGCAATCTATATTTGCCTCATCAATTTCATTGGATGAAGCACTGTTTAGGTATGGGGTTGGTTTGTTTGGGTTTTTGTGGGATTTTTCTGGTGGTTTTTACAGCTTACACATTGCAGCTAACTTTTTACAAATTATCACATCAAAGCAGGAAGTAATAATTTCAGAATTCCCAATTGTTCAGATTAATTAATTTTGTTATGTCTCAGTCTACTGCAGTAAGCTGTTCGATGAACAGATGTGAGCGTATAAGACTGAAAATTTAAGGACTCATCCCTCTTTCCTCCCCTTCCTTTTTGCAGTACTATTTTGGCAATCACAATCTACCAAGAGACAAGTTTCTAAAGGAACAGATCAAACTAGATGATGGCTGGGTACCTTTAGAAGTAATGATCAAATTCAACAGGTAAAGCAAAATACAACTAATATGGATAAAAGAGTAACTTTCAGCTACCGATCTCTGTTTGGGGCCAAGTGTTCCTGATGTGCATTTACATTCCCCATCTCTTTTTTAACATCTGGCTTCAGTTTTGCCTGTGTATTTGTAATAACTTCTGTCTGCTTACTCAATAGGTTAAGTCGCCTTTCAAAAGATTTTGGTGTTATTGTAGAAGCACTGAGAAAATCCAAGACTGGTTTAATGGAAATAAATGAAGACAAAACTAAAATCAGAAGATCTCCAAATAAACCCCTTCCTGAATTAAATGACCAGTATAAGGCTGCAATTAAAAACAGATCTGTATATGTTGTAAGTAAATTTTTCTTTACTTTGTGTTGTCCTGCATGACTTTAACTGATAACCATTTGAGAATAAAGCTTGAATTAACTTGTACTACAGAGGTTATAATTTTTAAGAGTCACTTTGTGGCATAAAATTGAAGCTCATTGCTGTCTTGCAGAAAGGCTTTCCACTAGATGCTACTCTTGATGATATCAAAGAATGGCTTGAGGATAAAGGTCCAGTTGAAAATATTCAAATGAGGAGAACATTGCAGAGAACATTTAAGGTAATGATGAGCATTTAGACCAGGGGCAGGGATCCCTCCTGGACAACATTCTGTTCAATTACTCTAACAATATCTCTTATCATTTAACAGGGTTCAATATTTGCAGTTTTTGATAGTGTTGAATCTGCTAAGAAGTTCACAGAAATACCAAATCAAAAATACAAAGACACAGAGCTGATAGTACTTTTCAAGTAAGTCCACTTAACTGATACATGAACTAACAGTAGTTGGGGTGGATTTACACAAGAACCTGGCTTGACCTCTGAAGTGAGTTTTTCATGTTGTACATTGATAGATTCACCTTTCAGAGACTGAGACTTAGCATCTCAACTTGGAAAAATAATATCAACTGTTTCACGTCTACTGCTGTCTTACAAAGTTATTATAACAATATTTTAAATTAACTTATATTCTATTGAAGGGAGGAGTATTGTACAAAGAAGAATGAAGAAAGGAAACAAAACAAAGTAGAAGCAAAAGCAAGAGCTAAACAGTAAGTCATTGCCAATCAAAGTCTGTGTCTTGCTTGCCTAACCATGCTTGAACTGACTCATAACTAATTTAACTTTTTTTCAGGGAAAAAGAAGAAAAGCAGAAACAAGCAGCAGATGCTGAAATGGTATGGGTTTCTTAAATCACCTACATTTTATAAAGCTAACATGGAATAGTCTTTGAAATGCTGTAGTATAGAGCACTTTCTAGAAAGTGACTTCAGCATTCCCAACTAACTTAGACTGTTTTGTCATGGTGTTTTAATATTATCTTCAATAGACTCATTTTGTTTAAAGGCTCATGTCCTGAATTTACATTATTGGGCATGTTTGCCTGTTCAGAGTGTTCCTGGATGCATCATTGAGATGATGGTTCTTCTATGGTATTTAAAGGATCCATTAAGGATTTCATCAATATTATATAAATTTTCCAACTATCAGCCTTCAGAAGGCTGTTTTGTAAAATTTAAAGAGTGTAATTAATATGGGGAGTCCTAAGTTCCATATAAGTGTATCACAGTAAGCAAAGAAAACTCCAAGGAGGGGACCTGCATTGTACAAGACTTGGACATCAGCAGAACTAGGTTATGTAGGAAAAATGCTTGAATTACTGTAACTTCAACTGCTTATTTATTGCTCTCATGTTTAATAGGATTGAGGGGGGGAATATGAATATTCAAACTTGACTCTTCAATGATAATGTGGAGGTTTTTAATTTAATTTAGAAATCTCTGGAAGAAAAGACAGGATGTCTTTTGAAGTTTTCTGGTGATCTAGATGACCAAACGTGCAGAGAAGACCTCCATGATGTGTTTTCTGGTCACGGAGAAATCAAGTGGATACACTTTGTTAGAGGTGCAAAGGAGGTCAGTAGTCTTAGAAAAGAACTTAAGATCTTTGTATTGAAGTTTGAAAGGAATGATTAAATGTTTGGTATGTTAACACAAGTCAGTTATTGTTTTGTGAAATTGTGGAATATTTAGAGACTTAATTTTAAATTTAAGTTCTTTCAGAAGAAGAGAGGTTCCAGCCTTGTTAGGGGGTAAGGTCAAAACAAAGAATGTTCATTAGCACAGTCTGTGGGCTTTGCTTCAGTCTAGACATGTTTTACAATCATACAAGAGTAATGAATTTGCTGAGGCACTCAACAGGATATATTCTTCATTGTTCTAGCTGAATGTTTTTGCAGTAAGATTAAAATGCAAATGCCACTCTTCTTTTAAAGGGAATTATCCTATTTAAGGATATTGCCAAAGAAGCTCTGGAAAAAGCCAAAGCAGCACATAATGGGAACTTGCAGCTTCGGAACAAGGATGTTGCATGGGAATTGCTAGAAGGAGATGCAGAGAAAGAAGCTCTGAAAAAAATCCTGGATGATCAGCAGGAATTGCTGAAACAGAAAACAAAAGGTTCTCCCTCCTCTTATGAATTTAATCCCTTATAATGTCCTAGAATTGGTGGATAAAATTCACTCTTAAATAGTCGATATGTACTACATACTGACCTTAAGTGGAAAGCAGTCTCTGCAGCTGGCCAGTTAAAAGACAAATGATACAAAGTTCCTGATCTTGTATCTCCACAGGGCGCAAAATTAAAGGAAAAGGAAGAGGGGGAAAGATACCTCAGGGTGCACAAAAAGGAAAAGTACAGTTTCAGGGCAAGAAAATAAAGTTTGAGAATGACGAAGAAGATGGTGAAAATGATACTGTAACAGGTTTGTCATTCTGTGCACTTGATGTAGCTTATTCAGTACTTTTACAGAAAGTAGCTCCATATACTCATGTTTCTTACAATGTTTCAGATTTGGCTCTGCTTTGTAGCATTTCTGCCCTCCTGGCTGTATCTGCTTTAGGAGTCTTCTGCTCAATTCCTTCCACAACTGTCCAAAAAGCCTATTAAGATAACTACTAGATAGATAGTAATTCTCAGTATAGTAGTATATAGATAAGGCTATTCTGCACAGTTGTTTAAAACATTATGCATTGACACATGGTGATTGTCAGCAGCATTACACAACTGTACAGATTCAGTCTCTTGAGTGGTGGGGTTTTTTTTTCCTTTAAGGATATGAGAAGATTTAATAGTTCGGCCTGTCAGTATTTAGCTTGGAGCAGAGGAAGAGCTAAGCTTCTGTTCATTACATATAACACCTGCTTAAGTAAAACCCAGTGACCCCTACTCCTGGTAGACTGTACTTCATTTTCTTACCTGCCTTCCTGCTGTGGAGTTAGGGGTGAAGAGGGGCATTTTAGAACCTCTAAAAGCTTTAGTCACAGTAATAAACAAACCTTCTAGTGTAGCTGTGGCTTTAGATAACTGGAACTGAAACTTAGATGGTGGGAAGAGTTTGGGTTTTTTCAGATTTTACGCAAAGCTTTCCTTTACCCTAAATTACTACATATTCAATCTTGCAGAACCAGCAAGTCCCAAGAAGAGACCACTAGAGGAAACAGAAAAGGAAGAACCTGCACCAAAACAACTGAAAACAGAAAATGGAGATGGCAATCAGTAATACTCAAAAGAATTAAAAAAAAAATGGTTTTATTATTCCATTTTCAATACATTTTAAATACATGCCTCAGTTCAGGACTTTTTTGGCAGAAAATCTAATGAAATCCACTTCAATGTCAACCTACAATTAGAAAAAAGCGATATTTTATTGGGTTACAGCTGTTTTTTGTTCAAGCATGCTTATTGCTAACATAAAACCCTGGAAAGCTTTTCTATTTATAGTTTTGTTTATTCTGTCAGATCTCAATTTTTCTGGCACCTCATTCAAATGTAAAAGGTTTTGGACTTTGTAATCTTGTGGTTATGTTTAATAGCAGCTGGCAATAAATTCAGAACTTAAAACTGCTTTCTACTGAAGCCTGGTTAATACAGTATGTTTCAACTGTGAAGTAGCAAAGATAAGAACAGACTTAAGTAATTTAAAGTTCAAGTCACTAAGAACGTAGCAGCTGATTAAAGCTCATGTTCAACTATTGCTCACTCTCCTCTCTATTTTCCTTATGGTAAAGGATGGGGATACATGGCTTCCAGGCCAGCACTCAGTAGCAAGGAACTCGCTGTGGGCTTAGGCTGCCATACTGTAGTGTCTTGACTGTATCTTTTAACCGTGGGATGAAGTGCATGAGTTCCTCCTGCTGCCTCCAGGCTGGCTCTGAAATAATGCTACTGCTGTAACATCCTTGTTACTGTGGCCTTCAGCATGCATTCACTCAAGTCTGAGCTGCAGACAGGGCTGAGCAAAGAGCTATTAGGAGTCAAGGAGGCTACCCTTAGCTTTATCACATCTAACTGCAGTGCTGGCTTTAGTCTTTGTGTATAGCTTTGACTGGAATGATCATGATGCTTTTCCCTGTTCAGCCACAAAATGGAGTAACAGCAGTGATGTGACTAAATGCTGTGACCATTCTTCATCCAGTACATACAGCCCTAAAACTTAAGTTCCATTAAGGAGAATTTATTTACCTCAGCATTTTCTCAGTTATGTCACGTTTTATACTTACTGATTTCTTCTTATGGAACTTGTACGATGCTGGTAAGTCAAACCTAAGTTCTGTGAACAGTATAAAAGATACATGTTAGACTAGGATGGTAATCAAGTCACTTAAGCCCAACAACCATGTACTTCTGTTTCTCATGCCTGCATCTGTTGTGGCCTGTCATACTTGTTTTAACTCTGCACTACATGATGACTAAACATTAAAGCTGTCCACATCAGACAGTTAAGTGGATTGCTGAAATGCAGTTGTGTTTCGAGCACTTGTGCAACTTCACATCTCAAGTTTTATGACTGTAAAAGCATCAGGCATCTGCTTAGCAGAAGAACTGGGAAGATACTTAAATGGCAAAAATATTTAGGTGGCTAAGGACAGGATGCTTTTTTTGTGTGTGAGAACTGACCTGTGCTTCATTTTTCTTTTTCAGCAACACTCCCTTTGAAGCAGGAAGAGGTAACTTGTGCTTGAAGACAAAATCTAGTACAGGAACAAACCTAATTCTGCACAGAATATGTATTTCTCAGAGCTTTATTAAGTGCCTGCTTGTATTCTAGCCAGGTGGCAAAAAATTAAAAAAAATAATTTAAAAAGTCTGCTAAAAAGAGAAAGACCTGTGTCATTTCTGTCCTAAAGCACACTTAAATTTCTCTTGGGCTGTTATGTCTGCCTGGTAGTGTTAGAAATATTTTTTTTTTTTCTGTTAAAAATAAGTATTACCTGCTAAGACTTCCATCTTCACTTCCCATTCTGCTGCTTTCTTTTGGATGTGCTACAATAGTAGATAGTGTAAAAATGAGCTTTTTAAATTATCTTTTATAAACATCTACACCTTTGGACTTAATCAGTCTCCTGTGCTTTTAATTTTCAAGCCAAAGCATTAAATCATGTAATTATCTTGATGTATGTGAGATTGTAGTTACTTGATGTAAATAGTATTTATCCCAAACATAACCCACAAAGTAGCTGGCAAATCAGTGAAGCTACAGACCTCTATATAGCCAAATATTTTGTTGTCTGGTTAGTTCTTGCCCTACTAAAATGAAGAACTTACCTGTCGTGTTGAAGTTTTGTGAAGGGAATATACAGCTGTTTTTGCCATTTGTAGAGCAGTTTTCAGAAAAATCATATCAATTCCTAAAAGAATAATGAAACTATTAGAATTGTTAAATGAAAGCTCAAAGACCTGCTTAATTTTTTCTGGAATAATAGCTACTTGAGAAACAGCACTGAATACATTAAGGTACAGGAAATATTTCTAAAATATACTCAATTGCTTTTAATAAAATAAAAATGATAGGGATTCAAAATACCTAGTATTGTTTATTTCAAGCCCCAGTGACTGTTAGTTACAATGCTGAAGTTGCTAATCTTAGGAAGCCAATTCCAGATAAACAAAACATTAAGAAATTAGAATATGCAACTAATAAAGAAGGGAGATGTTTCACTGAAAGCATTTCCCTTGCTGTTTCATTTGTGTTAATTTCTAACTGAGCTTCACAATTACCAACCTTTGTTATGCTTGGTACCAAAAGGAGGATTCATAATAACTGTGTCAAAAGTATCTGACATGCTGTCAGATAAAGAACAGATGTCACACTGAACCATGTTGACATTTGTGAGATCAAAGTCTTCAATATTGCTATTAAATGTTTCCAGTGCATCTCCATCTATGTCAAGCCCCACACAGAATCTATTAAGAAAAGTGTCACATATTAGTCTACTACAAACTACAATGGCGTTAAAATTCTACAGTAAGTAAACACAACTTGTTTTATCTAGGAAATGTAACAAGTATACATAATAAATTCAGTGCTGATAAAAATTCAAGTACTTCTGTTGCCCTTTCCCAAGTATATATCTAAATTTGTTAAGGAAGTTTAATGTGTTCATGTAATGCTTATGGGGAAGCAAATGACTTCCAAATTCATGACAGATGTCCATCACTTTCATGGTATGAATGGTGATTGATGGTTGAAACTTGGTACCACATAATAAACCGGAAATATTTTAGTTCAGCATTGCTACTCTTTAATCTTACTTTCTACTTTTCTATGACAGAAAGAAATATAACCAGAACTTAATATTAAATACTTACCCTGCTCCTAACATTGCACTTCCAATGCTGAGCATGCCACAACCACATCCTAAATCTGCAATTGTTTTGTTTTCAATATCATCAAAAGTATTGTGAATTGTATAAAGCATACATGCTGGGGGAAAAAAAATCCCAAATAAAACAGGTCAATAATGCCAAATATGTACATGATTAGTCAAGAAAAACGGTTTCTACCTTCAGAAAACTTAATTTTGCATTATAAACCCCCTTTACTTAAACTGATATTCTCTCTTTTCCATTTATATGTGAAGAATCAAAAACATTTTTATGAGTTACAGACTATGGATCTTTGGTGGAGAGATAGAACTCTGAGTATTGCTTGTGGAAAAAGTATGCCTCTAAATGTTTTGGGGGAAAAACAATATAAGGATTTAAAATATGGAAAAGAGCATGATTAAGGTATAGATGAGTGTATAGTGTATATACCCTAAAGTGAATATACACTTTTACTAGTTTTGCAGGCCATGACATAACTCCATTTCAGCTTCAGATTGGTTCTATCACAACATTATCTATTAGATTAATTTATTTTATTTTTGGATTGGACATTGTCCTAGGTTGCATTTTTCATACAAAGACAGGCATTACCAGAATACTACTATACACATTCCTGTTGGATATACTTTCTTAACTACTTTTAGTATAAAGCCTGCAAAGGAGACAATGCAGTAGAAAAAACTTTTTGAATGAAAAGTGATGAACTAGTAAAAGAGAAAACAATGGTGTGGATCACCTCTACCTGCAATATGAGGTCTTGTTGGATACTGTTCAAGGAGTAGTTTTGGACTTTCAAAAGTATCAACTTGTTGAAGACAGCTTTCCAGTTCTTTAAGCTTTAATTTCTTCATGTTTATGTTTTAACTGAAGAAAATAACGTGTAATCAGTTACAGCAATATAAATAAACTACGTATAATATTAAATTATTTCATACTTAAAATCCCCTGGTACTCTTCAGCCTCTCCCGGGCGTTTTCACGGTGCCGTTTCTCGGGACGCAGCTGGCGGGGCATCGATGATGGGGAACGAGGGCAGCCCTTCTCCTCACCGGCTGCCGGAGTTCGGGCCCTGGGCTCCGTTTCTACCGCTCAGGCCCGCCCGCCGCTCAGCCCTAAGCGGGGCAGGAGCCGAGCCCCAGCGACCGCCACCACCCGCACCGTCGGCTCGCCCACAGCGCCGTCCCCCCGCCGGCGCCCGCTCGGTACCGCGCCACTCACCGCGGCTCGGCCGGGCCGCTCCGAGCTCCGGCCGCCGCCGCGCACTTCCGACGCGCCGCCCGCCCCCGGCGCGCCCCGCCCCCGGCGCGCCCCGCCCCGGCGCGCCCCGCCCCGGCGC